ACCAGTCCCTGGAGAAGCATATCATGTTTGATTGAGGGTCAGCAAAAAGGGGAAGATACTCAATGAGATGGACTGACGCGGTGGCTGCAATGATGGACTTGAGCATAGCAACAATTGTGAGGATGCCACAGGACCAAGCAGGCCAATATGAATTGAAACCAACTCGTCAGCACTTAGTAACAACAGGTACCACGACACGTATTAATTGGTTCAAGCAATGAAACTGCATATGGAATAGCAGCTATAATTGGAGTCACCACCTGGTTAAATTATGATAATCCACTGTCATTCTCCAAGATCCATCTGTTTTTTACACAGGCCAAATAGGTGAGTTAAATGGGGATGTGGTGACTGGGCAATCAACTTCCAGAAAGACACCACCTCTGAAACCCAAGGAAGGGTTGCTATGAGTTGCAACTGACACAAAGGCAGTGAGTTTGGCGGTAATCAATACCCCTGCATCCTTCAAGTCTTTGATGATGGCACTAATCTCTGCTATCCCTCCAGGAATTTGATATTGCTATTGGCCTACTATTCTCCTAGGTTGGGGTTTTCCTACTATAACAGCCCTTACTCCACATCACGGATCTAATATGGGGGTTCTGCTAGTTGCTGAGTATGTCCATTCCAAGTATGCATTCTCAAACTGGGTAAATCACCACAGGATGTGTTCAGCAACCCACTGGACCTGCTGTGAGACAAACCTGAGCTATGCTTCTATCAATTAACTTGACCTCCATATGCCCTTACTCTAATCAGTGGGCCACAGTGACATTTTGGGTCTCCTGGAATTAGTGTTAATTCAGAGCCTGTGCCCAGTAATCTCCAAAAACTCTGATTATTTCCTTTTCCCCAATAAACAGCCATACTCTCGTAAAAGGCCATAGATACCTTTGGGGAAGGCTGGAAGAAAGACTTCAACAGTATAAATTTTTGGCAGTGTAGTGGGGTCCTTCCTCAAGGGAACCTGGCCTCTGCTTCATTCAAAGGGTTGTGTGTCTATAAACTGACTCAAGTTTGGGAACTGATTGAGGTGCTGTGACTCTCTATTCTGGCGATTCAAATTAGACTGCTATTCACTTTACCTAGAATTCTTCTGCTTGTACAGATCAAGTAAATATTTAGATTTCCTAACTATTTCACCAGCCACTCCTCGGAAGGAAGATGGGGCAATCTATTTCCATAGTGATACCGCCTCGGAAACCCAAGGAGGGGTCGCTATGAGTCGGTCCGACTTGACGGCACATAACAACACAACAACAACAGCTATTTCACACCTGGGGACACCACATCCAAGTAGCCAATACCATAAGTTCATGAGTCAGAATTCTGATCACTGCTTTCACTCTGCCATCCATTACAGTAACCACACCCACTTTGTCTTTGTGGAGGAAGTACCACCATTTGGCACCTATCACCCCATTAGGTGTTGAAAGGGCAGTTACCACTGTCAAATCTGACATACTTAAAATAGCACTCACAGCAGTCTTCAAGGATCTGAGGCTCCCTTCACAAATTTATTCCTCACCACTGTGGTTAAAGGTGTGTCCTCTGGGCACTCCAAGTGTGGGTCTATGGGTCTAATCTGATAAATCCACTCTAACATGCCAATTTCCCTAAGTCTTTGGATGCCTTCTTCTATAGTATACTACAGTAGGTCTGGTACTTCAACTTGATTTAGAGTAGGCCACCATGTAATCCATGCTTCAGTGAACCAACCAAATAAACTTAGATGATTTCCTAGCCTCTGGAGCTGAAACACTGAACAAAGAATCTGTGTTTAGTTGGTCCATATCAATAAACTCAGATGGATCCAACTTTATGTTCCTTGTGCCATTATCTCACACCCTTAATAGTCACTCCCACACACATTCTCCAGGTCTCTGTTTGTACCTATTAGAAAAATCAAGGAGTTCTTCCTGGGTCACACTTTGTACTTCACTTTTTGGGGATTATACTACTACTCACTGCCGTCAAGTCAGATCCGACTCATAGCGACCCATCCTTAGGTTTCCAAGGTGGTACCTCTAAGGAAGTAGATTGCCCAACCATCCTTCCAAGAAGGGGCTGGTGGGTTTGAACTGCCAGCCTTCTGGTTAGCAGTCAGATGCCTTAGGCACTACATCTGGGTCAATCTCATCAAATGGGGGTAGAAGGGATAATAGTTTTACTGCAGAAGGTTGCTTAGCAGACAAAGATGGAGTAATCTCTTCAGATGGGAGGGGTGGTGCTATTGTTAAATAGTGATTCAATGGAATTTAGGAGCCCAATGTTCTCATCTTCCTGATTGCCTGTCCATGTCCCCATCCCAAGTTTCAAGATCCCATTTCTTCCCAATCAATGCCCCCACTTTTAACTTTCAGACACCGTTCATGGTTGGGAATTCAATTGGCATTGTAATTCAGCCACTTCTATAAGACTCTGGGTTTGTTTTTCAGCAATATCAGCTTTGTTACTACAAAAAATAAAGTTTCTTTTAAGGCACAAGTGCAACTTTCAGGTCTTTTATGTGGCACTTGAGATGTGACTTTGAAGCCCTGCACTCCTTTCTTTTACTACTTTGTTTTGCAAAAGTAGGACCAACCAACCAGCTTTCTTATATTTCCCATTCTGACGAAATTGTAGAGAAGTATTCAATACGCAATCGCCCAGAGCCTTGTATCTCACAAACATCTGATCTATTTGTAGTGATATTTCCATCGCCACCTCATGCCATGGATTAGCAGTGTCCTTTTTACTACCTATTGAAGACAGAGCCATCAGACCTTTAAGACCAGCCAGACTTGACTAATTTTTATCAATTTAGAAAACTCATCTTTACAATTTTGTTTCTCTAGAACTCCTCTTGGTACCAAATATCTTACGCTGAGTTTTATAGAGAAGCAAAATAAGTGAAACTTATATATCTATGTATACAGCGAGATTTTGCTCAAGGAAATGGCTCACACAGTTGTAGAGGCTGGCAAGTCCCAAGTCCGTGGGGTAAGACAGCAGGCTGCTTGGTAAAGTCCAAAGAGTTGGAGGTCAGATGGTGATGAGCCAGGTGCAGGATTCAGATCGAGCAAAAAGCCAGAGAGCTTTGCCAGAATGTCCATATATATTGGATGCAGACCAAACCCCTGACGAAACTCCTTTTTCAGTTGTTCATAGCAGATCTCATCCCGGATTACAGTGTATCAGATCTTATCATGGGAGATGACTACATAACTGCCAAACCACTGAGAATTATGCTCCAGCCAAGATGGCACACAACCTTAACCATCATAGCCACAATAAAGGGGGAAGCTTCAATTGACTGTTACCGTGTAGGAACCTCAGGGTAGTATTGTAAATTGTCTGACTTTTCAAATGAAGTAGATTTTCAAATCTGGATTTTGATGTCCAATATTTAAATGTTGGCAAGTAAATGTTTAAAATAATTTAAGTCATTGTGGGCAGAACAAAGTATGTGGGTAGCATGTTTTGTCAGTGTGCAATTTCTAATCTAGACCAGTGCCTTGAGCACAAAGAGATGAACCTTACCCAAGGCCACTCCACTGGTTTGCGGTACATCAAAGATTGAAACTCAAGCCTTCTGATTCTTCTCCTGCTACTCTTTTGACTAAGATGGGCTATATCTAGATTTTGGTGGTAGTGGCATTGGCAGGGACAAAAACCCCTGTCAGAAACTGTTCAATTCCATGGCACATACTTTATGAATACAGTGTTCCTACTGTTGTGGTTTCAGAAGGAAGGTTGGGCAATCTATTTCCATAGTGACACAGCCTCGGAAACCCAAGGAGGGGTCGCTGTAAGTTGGGCCTGACTCAAGGGCACACAACAACAACAAACTGCTGTGGTTCCTACCCAGCTATAGTAACATGTTGGGTCTTATAGGCAAAGCTCTGTACTAGAAGCCAGGAGAACACAAAGCAGAAATAGTCCCAGCTCTGAAACAGTTTATAGTTTATTATGATGGAGGCAGTTATGCCAATAATTTAAAGTCAGGCTTGCTATAAACCCACAGCCACCAAGTTGATTCTGACTCAACGACCTTTAGGACAGAGCAGAACTGCCTCATGGGGTTTTCAAGGCTGTAATCTTTAGAAAAGCAGACTGCCCCATCTTTCTTTCTCCCTAGGAGAACCTACCCACCTTTTGATTAACAGCTGAGCACTTTAATCACTGCACCACCAGGGTTCCTCCAAACTCTTATGGCCTAAAAGACAATGTTTTATCAGGCCCAACATTTGCTCTTTCTGCTCCACATGGCCTTCTGGCTCTTTCCTTCATTAAAACCTTTCAGTGTCACTCTCTTCCCCACCCAGAAAGCTCATCCCTTATCTTCTGTGGGATCTCAGAGAAGTCTCCTCCTCCGAATAGCCTTACCGGATTTAGAGTGGTCTACCCCTCATCGTCTGTCACTCCACTTGGTATAGTCTTTAGGGCACATCTCACTTGCAGGTATCTTCTTTATTGACTTAACTCTCTCCTGCACTTGAATGGGAAGTCACGGAGCTTGGCTTCTGTTTTGTTCCCAAGTTTGTAGACTGAGGGAATTATGAGGCTGGCTTTCACTGTCCTAAAATGTTTTTGCTCCTCATGAGGCCTCATTTGAGTCAGTCTTCCCCCACAAGACGCCTCTTTCCCCTGGCGCGCTTGGAAAAGAACTGCCTCTACCATCTCCCACTCACATTCGAGAATCCAAATGATTCAAAAGTCCTCAAAAAAATAGGCCTCAAACCAGCATCTCAGCGTCCTAAACCAGGCGTCCTCCTTTTGCACGCGGGCTGCTTCTCTGAGGCAGGTTCCCGAGGCCAGTGGCGATGACACCGAGGTGCCCTCGCGAGGCTGGGGTCACACAAGAGTGTCTCCTAGCAACACCGTCCCCCCCCCACCCTCACCCCCGGGAAGCCAACCCCTTCCCCTAGGCTCCCGCGCCTGGAGTCAGCGTCTCCATCCTCTACACTCACTCTGCATCGGTCGGGCTTGCCCACACCCACAGAAGCGTGGCAAGCGCCCTTCGGGCTGGGAGGAGGCGGTGCCGGGAGCCCTGAGGAGCTGCTGACGACGGGCAGGTCTGGTAGGCCAGGCCGGACCAAACCACCGGGCGGACCTCTGTGGGAGCATTAGTCTCAGGCCGGGGATAGTCTCGAGTCTCCATGAAATTCAGACTCTACTCCACCCTCTGCTGTCTACTCAACTATATAGCCAACTCTATCTTCTTTTTCCCTTTACCCCTTCGCTATCCTCCCCTCCCCACTGCAGCCAAAAAAAAAAAAAAAATGGTCCAGTCCAGCTCCAGTTAGTCATCTCGCTCAGTAGTGCTAATCTTTGCCCTTACTTGGCGACGGCTTCGTACGTCCTTGCGTACGTCGTGACGCAATCTTCCACCCTTTCACTCCCAGCCCCTCAGCCCCTCTCCCTCCTTTCTCCCTCTTGCAGCGGGCGGCCTGCGGGGTTACCGGAAGTGATGATGCAGGAGGGGATGGAGGGGGCGGGGCTTCGGGGCGGCAGCCGCCGGTGGGCCGCAGATGAAGAGGCGGCGGTGGCAGTGGTGGAAGAAGAGGCGGCGGTGACGGGGTTAGGGAGCTTGGAAACGCAAGTGGGGATGGTAGGTGGTTTGGACCCGCCAGGCCGCCGTCGTTTCCAGAAAGGGTTTGACCGGAGGAACCTCTGGAGCAGCTGTGAGTTTGGTAAGGGGAGGGAGTAAGTGAGGAAAGAGGGGAATTGAGAGATGAAGAGGCTGAGGTTGGGTACCTTCGAGAAACGGGAGGTCTAAGGGGTGGGGGTTGGGGAGTGGAAACGAGCGCCTGATCTGAACTGGTCCCTGTGGAAGAAGAGGCTGTGTGGGGAGCCTGTGGCGTGTCAGCTGCAGGGCTCAGAAAACTTACCTACTGCCTCTGCCTCCTACCGCCAGCACCCCTCAACCCAGAACCTGGGCATCTAGGTCCGGAGCTGCCCTGGAAGAGGTGCAGACTCCGGTCCTATGCCCTGGGTAAGTGCTGTGAGGTAGGAGCCCACGGGGGAGTTAGTGGGTGAATCTCCAGCTCCCTCCGGCTTCATTTCCCTCCCCACCCCCATCCTTCTCTTTAATTATTAACAGCACTGGAATTAAGGGGCTTAAACCTGAAGGCCTTTCCGTGCACCTTTGCTATAAACGATAACCATCTGTGCCTGAGGTAATGGTGCTCAAGGCTTTGCCTGTGTCCTGTATAGGAAGTGGGACTGGGTGACAATTTTTTTTCCCACTCTCCTCACCCCTCATCCTCCCCCATACACACCCCTCCTTTCCACTTTAGTTCACTGTGGTTGTGTGGCAGTCGTACTATTTTTTTTTTTTTTTTTGAAGGCACTTGTCACCTTGATTACCTCTTTTGAGTTTGGTGTTCAGCCTCTATTCCACATCGTTATTGCAAACTTTGTAATAGTTTATTTACAGGCTGTGTCACTTCGGAAGTACCTCTCAACGCCTGGTAGCTTCCAATTATAAGGAGCATTTTCTCTTAGGAATACTAGAATTCCAAAGCCCTTGCAAGGATTCCTAAATGGCATCATCGCCCAGGAATCATGGTCTCTTGCTCTAAATACTTTATGTGTGAGGAATTTACATGTTGTCAACTCTTTCCAAAATTATTTGATGTTGGGCTAATTCTGGATTTCTGTGTTTCTCTCCACCCACACTTCATGATGCACTTCAGAGAACAGAAAATCCCATATTACTTTTTTGTTTCCACAATTGGACAATAGTTCCTTACTTTCTCTAGTTATGTGTCTGGCATACAAGTCTTCAGTGACACATTTGCCTTGTGCTGATTTCCGTCTTGATTACTTAGCTAATTCTTTGTACAGAGGTGGTCAATTGAGGCAGTGTGATCTGTTTAGCTGTGTTTTAAAGATGATTATAAACCAATAATGGATGTGAAAAATTACCTTAAGAAAGCTAAGAATGATTGGAAAGATGGTTTCTTTGTTGATATTTTGTTGGTTTTTTAAAAGTGTAAACCACCAAGTAACACAAATTCACAAATTTCAGAGTGAAGGGTAATGATTCCAGTTTTGGTGTTGACGTTTTCTTCGGAACTCCTCCATCTAATCTAAGAGTAAATTTTCTGAAGAACTTTAAGAGATAGTTTCCAAATCTGGGGAGTCGTGTGTGTGTGTGTGTGTGTGTGTGTGTGTGTGTGTGTCATGGGGGGGGAAGCAAATTGAATGCCATTGAATGGATTCTGATTCACAGTCACCCAATAGGGTTTCCAAGCCTGTAATAGAAATGTGTCTATAAATCCTACTCCTCTATAACTGAGCTTGATAGCGTATCACTAGAAGAATGGTCATAATGAGTATTCTGAGGCTAGGGGGAGAATCCCATCCTACTTATCAAAACTTTGTTTTGATTGTGCATGTAAAAGTGGGTTTAGATGTTTCACAGACATAGAACAAAAGAAAAAAATGACTGCTGAGTTCAGCTGGATTTGGATCCTAGATTGCCACTGAATAAAATGTCCGAAATTCATTCAATAAATACTTATTGACTGGTTACTAAGTGCTAGCCAATGTTTCAGGCACTGGGTGTACAAAGGTGAGCGTAACCAAAAAGGTCTGTGTCTTCATTGCATTTCCATTGGAGGAGGGTAAGAACTGGACTACAGAGACAGATACTAAATAAATAAAGTGAGGAAATTAGGAGTGATGTGATAAAAAAATTCTCTGACTGGATGCCATCAGAGAAGATCTTTCTGAGGAGGTGACACTTAAACTGAGCTTCAAGTGAAAAGGAATCAGCCATCCAAAGATAAGGGGAGGTGTCTTCTAGGTTCTAGGAACAGCTAGTGCACAACTGGAGTGTCAGGATCTGGACGCTGAGGAAAAAGTGTGGAGACAGTAGTAGCTAAAGTCTGGTGAGTATAAGGGAGAATGAAAAACAGACAAGGTTAGAAAGGTGGGGACAGAGCTCAAAATAGATAGACAAGATAAGAGCAAGCAGAAGAAATGATGGAGAATTGATGCTCCTTTTTAGTTTGTGAGCTTTCCTAGAGTTTCATCACTTACTGTTTTGCAGGTACTGTTGGACTATTATAGTAAAAAGTCATCCTGCTGAGAGTGGAAGAGGAAGAGGCAATGGTCACCTGAGGCTTTTCTGGCAGATAAATCTCCTATCTGTTCTCAAAGAGAATAAAATTAAAAATTCAGCAGGATGTTTAATTGAGGGCATACCTTTTTCCTTAAGGGATTATGTTTTATATGCTGCTGTTTGGAATTGCATAGTAAGTACTCGGAAAGTGTTCTAGTATAGGAGTCCTCTTTTGCATTCAGCACTGGGTGAATTTAGTGTTGGAGGATTGCACAAGTGATCATATGCCCTGGTTGGTCTAAAAGATGACCATCAGGATCTAAACTTGAAATTTTTTTTTTTTTTTGTAGAGAGGCAGGGTTTGTGTTGCAATGATCTTCCTTGTCTTTCTCATGACTAATAGCACTCAGCTGAGGTACAGGTTGGCGCTAGAAGTTCATTTAGTGGATTACATTAGATAAATGACCACTGGAAGCCTGATCCCACTATGTTGGCATCTCTGGGCTGTCCTGTAACCATGGGACATAACCTGCTTTTCCCTTCAGTTATGGCTGTTCATTTAATATCCTCCTGCTTTTCACCCTTACCTTGACCAGATTGTTAGAGGAGACTAAACAAGACTCCTCCTTGATTTTGCCCTCTCGAGCCCATGTCACAGTGGCCTAAAACAAAGAATATGCTTTTTTCTTTCGAACTTCACAACAGTGACTAGTGTGTTCTTTGGGTGGGTCGGTCCTTTCAGCCAGGAGGTTGGGAGACTTACATGGTGGTTGGACTATTTGTAGTAAACTCATTGTTGTTACTATTGCTGTTGTGTTGTTGTGATGTGCCGTTGACCTGGCTCATACCAACCCCTCATTGGGTTTCTGAGGCAATATCACTATGGAAGTAGATTGCCCCAGCTGCCATCAAATGTGTCCCCACCTCATGATGACCCCATGCACAATGGAATGAAACACTGCCTGGTGCTGCACCATCCCTATGATCAGTGTGGATCAGATGGGAATTGTGATCCATAGTTTTTATTTACTGATCTTTGGAAGGAGATCACCAGGCCTTTCTGCCTAGTCTGTCTTAGTCTGGCCCTCAACCAAAACCTATTCAGCGTCAAAGCAGCATTCAAGGCTCCACTGACAGACAGGTGGCTGGTGCTTTGGGTGGAATCAAAACCAGGTTTCTTGTATGAAAGGCAAGAATTTTATCCCATAAACTCAGTATTAAAACCCAATGAAACTAAAACCCATGCTATGAAGTTGATTCCCACTCTTAGTGACTCTACATGACAGAGTAGAACTTTTCCATATAGTTTCCAAGGTTGTAATCTTTACAAAAGCTGACTGCCACATTTTTCTCACAGAGGTGGCTGGTGGGTTTGAACTACTGACCTTTTGGTGGCCAAGCACCACTGTACCATCATGGCTCCCAAACTCAGTATTAGAAATGCTGAATAAAATCTTTTGGTGTTTTGGGGGAAAAAGAATCAGAAATTAAGGACTTCTCTTTTAGATTCTAGTACTCTTGTGGCTCTTGAAGATGGAATGACAGAGCTTGAACAAAGCTTCTGGGGCTATCCCAGGGTTTATGGAAGGGAAGGAGTGGAGCCTGGTACTGAATTTCAACTTGAATGCACATAAAGTCTTTTAGTGTCCACACTAGATATGAAGTGATTAAAGTGAACAGTTAAGACTGGGCAAACAATATACTTCACCCCTCACTTTACCCTCTTTTTCCCCCCATACTAAAGAGTCACTCAAAGGAATGGGGAATTGACAATGATACTTCTTTATTTTTGGTTTTGACCCAGGTAAAAATATTTGGATTTAGCTTTATTGGGTAATGTTGTTCCTAAGATGTTCTAGTCAATGGTTTATTATGCTGTCCACTATTCATCTTCATTTCAATGGTTTATTATAACTCAAGTATGAAAATATCCCGTAGGCTGAGATTTCATCAGCCATTTTGAGACTGCTGGTTCTTTTCTA